GTTTAATTTTGTCTTTATTTTATTGACACTTAATTTCACTGAGCACTTTCCTGTTCTCTCATGGTGGATAATAGCTGTTTGTTCTCTTCTATTTATCATAGTCTGTGGGTGATTTTTATCTTTTTAGTTCGGTTTCAAAAGCCATATTACATTCCACATCTATTTCAACAGAGAAAATCATCAAGGTGGATAATCCTCTAATTTTTAGAACTTTACTTTTGCTATCAATTTGAGAATTTCTATTTTCTCATGTAAAGCAGTCACTATAATGTGCTAGATGAAAATTTTATTTCTGACATAGGTAAATAACTCAGTTATTCTGATCTATCTGTAATGAAGATTGTAATGGCTCCTATGCTGAGAGCAATAACAAGGGTTAAATTAGCTACTAAATGAAAAACACTAAATATACTGTCTGAGATATAGCACTTTCTTAGAATATTAGAGTTTATTAACTTAGCAAGGTTTAAAAATGATATATATTCTGCATCTATGGTACTTGGCAGGAATAACTTTATATTTCATCTTTGATAATGCTAATTCAGTAACATATTCTTACATTTTTTACCAGTGAACAACTTCAACTAGAAATAGTATATGCAGTCACTCATCAATAAATAATACTAATAGTGTAATAAAGATTGAATTCTAAAAAGCACAATTTGAAAGGAACTGGTACCTAATTGTTTTAGTTTGCTTTGGAAAATTAAAAGTACAGTGTAATTAAGAAGTGATTAGGATCACAAGCCAAGAACTACATTATGATCTAGCAGAAGAACTATAAAGATATTTATTCCTTCCATTCTACAATGTCTTTATATATGAGATGGGTCCAGTGACAATGTCTATTTAACTCAGAAGGTTTTTAATGATTAAATAATTTCATACATGTGTTAAATTCTGAATATAATGTTTGACATATAGAGTGTACAAATATGAACACGTTTTTGTTATTCATAGTTACTGTAATTGTCTTCTCTTTAGCTAACTAGCTAGCCTATTAAAATAGTAATGAAGCAATTAGCCTAGAGTACGTTTGTAATGCTGGGCTTTTTTGTCCATGCTTTTTAAAAATAGAATATTTAAGACTAACTATAAGTTTTCAAGCATGAAAATTTATCTAAGAACTTATATGCAAAATGGTAGCCTTTTGATGTGTCTTTAAAAGGACAGTAAATCAATTTTCTCTCTTAGAGGAACAAAGCTTCTAAAACAATGAACTTGTGTCTTTCTTAACAAACAAACATTGTTAAGGGAAGCACTCTCAGGCCTCTGATGCCAGGTCATCTGCTCATTGCTTTCAATGCACCATGTTTTATAGAGAGAGAGAGAGAGAGAGAGAGAACATTTTCTATATAAGCACTATGGTCACCTGCAGATTGCTATCAGCTCTCTGTACTCTTAAGTGCCCTGGAGGCAGTTGGGAAAGTCCCATATGGCAGACTTCATTGGCACCAGGTTGCATACCATGTAAAGTACCATGAGTTAGAACCTAAAACAATTCTGGTTGACTGTATACTGGTCTCCTCCTGTCTGCACTGGAGGGTGACTCTATTTTTTCTAAAAAACTTTTCTAGTTAAGCATCCTTGATTGGATACCTCATAAGAAAAGGTAATGTAATATGTCTATGCTATGATTTTTATTTTCTTGAGTATTATGGTCTCCATTGTGAGGAACTAAGATAGTGAAAAGTATGGAGTTAGAGGTTTCAGGCTGAGACATTTGGGAAATGTAGGGTTAGATAAAGCTATTAACGTGGTGCTCTCATCAGTGAATTTGTAAGGTTTCCTAAGAAAATCTGTGGAACAGAAGAGACATCCATACAGCAGCATAACTTTGTCTCTACCACATGATTCCCTGCTCCTCCTTGGGACTTTGAAAGTTAGGAAGAAGGCTTTCACTGTACATGGGTGCTTGATCTTGGAAAGTCAGAATTATGAGCCAAATAAGCTTCTGCATGTTAAAACTTCCCCCAATTTAGGGAATTATGTTATTACCAATAGAAAATTGACTAATAGAATGTCTTATTCTGCAACATGAAGAAATATGAGGGATCATGGGAAGTGGTATCCGAAGGAGAGATTGTGAAAACTTTTGATTTAGAATAAGATGTGAATACAGCAAACGAGTTGTTACGCAAATATAAAGAAAGATGTAATATCTTCTGTGCTCCAGGTTTTTGCCTTCACGTAAATTTTCTATGGACATGTACTAGCACCAGCCTATTGTTTAGCTGACTCTGTGTGATGATTTATTTTGTGTGTCCTCTTGGCTAGGTCACAAGAAACAGGTATTTGGTCTGATGTCAGTCTTGTGTTGCTTTCAAAATAAATTTAGATGCTATTGAGACTTAAACCAGTAGAATGAAGAAAAGCTGGTTACCCTCCATTATTTCGTTGATTTCAATGAATTGAAAGTCTTCAGAGAAGAAACCTATCTCAGCAGAGAAAAAGAGACTGCTGCTTCCAGGTTGGTTTTGGCCTTGAGCTTTCCTATCGATTCTTCATTCTGCAGCTTGCTGGCCTACTATGGAAACCTTGACAGCCTCCAATATCACATGATTCAAGCCCACAAAACAACTTTCTTGTTCTCATTCTCTCATATTCTTTCTTTGACTGCTTCTCTTATTGTAGACAACCTAATACCCTCACCCAAATCTTAGATGTGAAAATGATTTTACATATTATCAGGGCAAAAAGAAAGAACACTCTTCACATTAATCCCTTTAGATGGCACACTGAAAAGATTGTATTACACAGTGCAAGGCAGATTCTCATTCGAGAAAAACCTTAGAGATATTCAGTGCTTACATATCTCATTTTATAATATTCTTCTACAAACTTCTGGTTTACATCAGAGACATCAGTGTGAACAAGGAGAAAGTCATTTCCACGAACACATTTTTATTGCCCAATTCTACCCACTTACCAACAGAAAATGGAGTTGAAATTTCTTCATCTTCTTCAACACAAAATATAACTATTTTTAGATATTCCTTTTATTTCCATGAACTAGGTTAAAATTTATAAAATTAAAATACTTTGGCCCCTAGAACATCAATATTAAATTGCTCAGTCTCTTTCATACTAAATTAAACAGGCATCTCCAGTAGTGGTCACTAGAACAATTAAATCTCATATGCAGTGATGTTTTTATCTATATTTTCTAATATGTTTTATGGCTTTGCACTTGGACATTGAATCATTAAACAATTGCATCACTTCAAGGGGTACATTTTCACTGAAATTTAAAAGAAAATAATGACACAAGACATAAAATACA